ACAGAAGAAGTCCCATTGCAGTGGTTCCCAAACTCTGAAACACCTGGAAGGTAGTTCAGGTGCACACAGAAATATGCTTGACGACATTTTGGGAAAGGACCCAGAAATCTGCTTTTTTTTATAAGCTCCTTCAACGATTTTGTTGAAGGTACTACAGAACTCACATTTTAATTTTTGTTGACAAATACTGTCTTCTTAGAATGACTTTGGATACAGAATTGTCTGAATAATTTCATACAAAATGGTCACTGGATTTTAAGCTGCATAATATCCAAGGATGTAGGAAAATATTTTATGTCATTTAAAAGATGTTTTGTTATTGCTTACTTGATAGTGTTTTTTTAAATTGGAGTTAATCAGTACATTAGGCAAACTTATTAAATTTGCAAGACTGTGACAACTGTTTTACTCAGAAATTTTAACACATTTTGCTGGCTAATCAATCCTTTGAGGGTTACTTAGTTTTAGACAGTTTTTCTTCCCTCTCATTTCTTGAGATATAGCTTTGTTAATGAAGCATTCATTACACTAATCAACTCTGCAACTAAGCTAGCCATGGGTATTGAATTGCTGGGATTTGGGAGAATAATTTAGATGTACCAAACAACCAATTACTGTGATTTCTGGCTCACTAAATGTTGGATTATAACATGTTATTGTTCATTGGATATTAGTAGGAACTCCTAATTACTGAAATAGACATATATTTGAGATAATGTCTTGAACACTGTATATGATCATTAAGCATATTTCCCTCCCTGCCAACCTGCTCTTGCATTTCAATAGAGATTCAGGTTATGCTTATAAACATTAGTAATCTCCAAAGTTTTAAATATTTTCATCATTACCAAAATTTCTCCTCCCCTATGGGCTACATTTTCTTGGTTTGTGCTATGGGCTTATGCTAATCAGCATGGTTTTTGAATAAGTAAATGGCCAGTATTTACTCTTCTTCATTTCTTTTTTTTCATAAAATAATGCTTATGAGATGGCTTTCTTTACCTACTCATCTAACTTCATATCAGAATGACATTAATTTGGATCAAATGAATATGGCTCCAAATTGAAAGCACTGGATATTTCATTTTGTAAGTCCTAACTTACGATTTTCACTGGAAGTACCAGGTCTGAGTTTGTCAAATCAGTTCTTCAGTTAATCCTTTGATCATAGTACTTTTGTATTAAGTATATGTAAGTATTGTGAGGTTTAAGCCACTTAATGATACTGCTCTTGAAAACTCACTAAATTGAAATTCTGTAGCCCCTCTGTACCCTCTGCTCCTCGCATGGCCCCCCATGTCCTTCATCAACAGCATAGATTTGCATCTTAGATTACAGACACTGCACAACTAGATTATCATTCCATCTCCTTTTCTTTAAGGGCTAACTCGTCACATAACAAAGATCCTTAAGTGTAGAGCTGTACATCAGTGATGGAATATCATATTGCTTTAAGATTCACAGTGATTCCTAAAATTCTGCAGCAACATGAGATATCCTAACCAAATTTAGTTATTAGAAATCAAATACCAAATGTTTTTCTTTCTTTCTTTTTTTAAAATTAGAAATGGGATACAGTGAGTGTGTTATTTTCAATGTGAGCTAAGATGTTTAAAGGCAGCCATATGCCTGGCATAAGCACTGCATCTGTTTTATAGATGTCATGGGTGCTGTGACAGATCTACCTTGTGTACTGTATTTATTCTATCGTTATTTTTTAACCGTGCTAAGAAACTGTGATTTCATAAGAAGGTGAAGCAGAGCAAATATACTTTCTGTGACTTAATTCTTTATAACTCCAAGTGATTCACAAGTCTTGGTCACCTCCTCTGGGGTATGAAATCACACATCTATATAGTTTAGGAGTAAACACCCCAACATATTAATTGTTCCCTATCTAGGCCATTATTTCAGTCTAGGTTCTAATTTATATAAAACTTAAGAGTCCTTGGTTATACAAGGTCCATGTGCTTCAAAAGCCAAAAAACTGAGGGTATTGCCTAGAGTCAACTGGGGTGATTTAGTATAGAAATGACTGGAAAGCAGACAGCCTTTTATCATACTCTAATTGGATCGTTGCCTCTCTGCAGCTTTGTTTGATCTTGGTGTAAAGATATTTGGAAAGAGATCAATAATCATCAGATGTCTCAAACCCACTGAAAAAATAATTACACAATATTTAACTGGTGTTACAGCATAACTGAATGGCATTTTTTGAAATAAAGAATAATAGCTATACCATTATCTTTGACTCAAGATAGTCACAGTTCTCTCTCTCTCTCTGTGCATGTGTGTATATGACAATATATAATATAAATATTACATACGTGCTGTACATATGTTTATATGTATATTTATAAGTATATGTATATTAAAATATATCTATATGTTTACATATAAAACAACCTTTTTTTGTTCTATACTAAATGAAACAATGACAATAAAAAGATAAGGCAACCTGAATCTAGAAAAGCTGTCATGGACATTCTAGGTAAATTCACCTCACATTTACTGAATAAACCACTTCCTAATGAATAGAAATGAACTAAATCATATTAGTAGCTTTTATAAAGTGTATTGGTAATTTAATTTTTTGAAAAATTGTTAATTGGCTTTCTCTGCAGGGCTTTGCCTCTCTTTTTACTTGGGAGAGGTGTTGATTAATCTCTTTCTTCCTTTATTTTGAAAATTCTCAACAATCATGTAATTGGCATGGCCTTGAGAGTGTGACACCAAATGTCAACTAAAAACATATATATAAATATATATATATAAATCTTCAATATTTTGCTTTTATTTATTCAATAAATAAAAATTGAATAAGATATTGAATATCTTTCATTTATATAATTATATATATGCTTACAATTATATATATGATTTTATAAAACAACCAAAAATATTAGCACCTATCAAAGAAAAGCATCTGGTGGGAGGGGTCATAGAAGAGACTGAAATTTGTCATGAAAAGGAGGACGTGTCAGTTAAGATTATTTGAAGTATAAGGGGTAATAAAACCAACAGTATGCTATTGTTGAAGGAGGCCATGTTCTCTCATCTTGACTGTCTGGTTTTACTCGTCAGTGTGGCCACAGGAATTTTATATTTCCCATGAGGTAACTGGTTTTCAATGAGTTTACTCCATTTGGTGGGAGAAAATTATTAAATGTACAGTACACATAATTTCAATTTTATAACTGTGTAAGACATTTCACACATATATAAAATTACTCATGTGAAAAAAATCACTTGTCAGATATGTTTTGATCTAGAAAATACCTATGACTGTTTTGGTGGCAGAAGAAGCTGGCTGTGTTTAGTTGCCTGGATCTGTGGGAGGGCCCTCCTGCTTCCATTTATGATGGTCATTTATTTTTCTATTGCATCTTTGGTTTAAATGTTAAAGCACTTGTGAGTCACAGCTATTCTAGTTTGAATGAGTCTATTACCTGCTTTACTGAAGATAAAGGTATTTTTTTGTGCACCATTGACTTTGGACCAATCCGATGGGCTATGCACATCAACATGACAGGGTGGAGCAGCCTGTGGGTTGGGGTATCCAATGTGCCCAGCACCCAGAAGAGAGGAGCACCTCTGATCCTATGGAGGGATTTGGCAGACTTTATAAAATAATAGTAAATCATTAGGTTGTGGGGAAAACCTTGTCATGTTAGTCTTGAAAAAGAGAGAAATTTTAAACAAGATGCAAGGAAAAAAATGAAGTTACTTGATATTTGTCATTTTCACCCCTCAAAACTAAGTGTTTCCAAGAACAATTCCATGACAAGAATACATGATTTTAACCCACAAGTTTCATGAAACTAGTTGGACAGTGGGCATGGAAGCACATTTCTTCAAAAAGAAGCTCTACATGTTGAGGATCATGCCACAATTCTTGACTTCCTCTTCAGAGACTGACGGTTTCTATGTTTTCTTAAGACCTCCCAGAAACAAACACGCAGTGCAGAAAAAGAAGGGGGAGGTGAGTTAAACAATGATTTGCTAAATTTGAAAGAAATATAACTTTTCACATCACTCCCTGCCCTGCTCTGTTCTCCAATTTTCAACTCAAGCCATCCCAAGGAAGGGGTATCATCAGCTTAATTAAAAATACTTCCTTCATCTTGGCTGTACAGTGATCTTTCTGCTTTCTCCATTTTGGCTGCCTTTCACCAAAATGAGTGACTCAACTTCTTAGAAGAGATTGCTGCCAGCATTACAACACTGATGAGTACGGGAACCCCTTGCACACTTGCTCTTTGAGGACCCATAGTGTAGTTAGAAAATCAGCAGTTTACTGATGTCACAGTGAAAGGTACCGGGCACAGAAATGGCATAGCTGTCAATTTACGCTATTTTGGCTTCTGTGTTTTTCATTTTATGGAGCTAACTCTGAGGAAACTTGAAAGTTTTTCCACTTAATTTTTGTCAGTATAAACGCAGTGTCTGCTTGTTAAATAAATGTAAAAGAATGAAAGGAAGATAAGAAGTTACTGGTAATCCCCACCACTTATATACAAACACTGTTTACATTTTTACATTTTCTTTGGTTTTTAAAACATATTTAGGAACTCTGCACCTGATTTTTGTAGGTTTCAAATAACCATAAATGGGAAAGCTTCTCAATGTGTTCTGAAAACTTGACATTCTTAAATGGTTATTTAAACCCAAAGTATTTCATTTGAGTTAAACTTTGACCAACCCAGGTGACTAGTTTATAGTTCTTGAAACCTTGTGGAATACTTGGTATCAGCAAAGACCACACACCCGGATTCCTGGAGCATGTCTTGTGTTTGTGTTTAAACACAACCCTGAAATGTTTTCTTTCCTACCTATTTCAGACACATTCTTCTCATCTGAAAGCTCTGTGTCTTACTCAACAACCTCTGTATCTAAACTATGCTGAAGATACATAGAAAAGAGATGACATCACGGAACTGATTCTGTTCTTTTTGCTTTGTGTTTAGCTTAAGTTGAGCATTTACAATGAGTCATACAATCTTGTGACCAGCTGGGCACTTTTCCAATCAGAGACTGTTAAGATCTTTGACAACAGAACCTGTAGTTGTTTGAAGAAGACTATCAACAGTGACCTGGACGCTTGGTGATACCAGGCTTCTGTGAGTAACAAAATGTGTTCTTGTTGAATAGCCAACACCAATGATGAGGTAATACTTAGTAAAGCTGACTCATTTCCTTATTTACAGATCAAAGGGGTTACTCCGAAAATAAATATCTTACAGGTAAGCAAAGTTTTCCTTCAGGTAATACATGGTGAGTTTCTCTAAAGCAAGGCTGACCATAACATTGTCAGCTGTCAGATCTATTAAAAAGCAGATTTTACTATGAAATAATGTCAGACATTAACAGCAAGGCTCATTTCTAGCCTTAATGCTATGAGAATTGCTGATTTCAGATGCCATTCGTAAGGAAGAGCTTGTGTAAAGGTGATTTAAAGTTACTGATTAACTGAAACGTGGGATCAATGTTAACTTTCCTTTCTAAGTTCCACTGGGCACATTTTGCTGGTTTTTACAGCTGTAACTGTTACCCTGGACATCTGTGTAGGATGTCTGTGGGGAATGCTGGGTGCCCCTCCGTGTCTATGGACGTCCCAGCTGTACAGGGCTGTGGGATTTCCAGCCATGTCATGTTGACTTGAACCAACTCAGCAGGCACTTCCATTATGGGAAACCAAGAAACCTCCGCCTCCCTGACTTGCTGTCGTCTCCTGGGCTTTACAATCAGGCTGCCTTTACAAACACATTCCTCAAAGCTAGTTTGGAGCATATTTATTTTTAAAAATATAAGCAGCCTGCTGGGAGAAAAACATTAGATTAATGCATTCCTCTGAGCATCACCAAAAGTCATAACTCTTCTTCTTAGACCAGATTTTACTAGGACTTTACACAAATGGAAAAAGGCTCCTATAAATAGGATTTCATTGTTCTCATTCATTTATAATGTGTACATTGCCCTCTGTTGCCTCATTCTCTACTTGGTGTTCCTTCTTCTGAAATCTCGGGTAATTTTAACAGTTGTACAATTCTTTTGGTTGTTGGGAAATCATGCATTGTGAAACACATTAAATTGAGCACATTTAAAAATAGCCTAGTCTTTTCTACTGTTTGGGTAAGGCCACTTGCTTATTAGAGGTTGCTAACAGGAGTAAGTGGTCATGTGTGATCACCTCTAGAGCCAGCTTATTTGCTCAGAGGAAAGAATGCATTGAACAGCCATAGACTACATTCCAGAACATTAGCCAAACACTTTGCAAAAGCATGTGTTGGGTCACAGCAGAGCCCGCCACCACTCCTGGAAAAGCAGCTCTGAATGTCTGCCCATGTGACAGAAATCCTGTCGCAGATCAATATGGGCTCTCATTTGCAAGAACTTTTATAAGTGGTTCTTGCCACCTCTTTTTTCCTGATAAAAAGTCATTGGAATTTGTAGTTTCAGGAAATTCATGGGACTCTGCTTTCTTTTAGAAGGTTCTTCCTATGCTATGCAATTAGTTCTTCCAGGGAACTTCGATCTTCATATTATGTTGCAGGGCTGGGGAGAGTGTGTGTGCTGTAATTTTAAGTACTTGAGGGGCTAGAAGAGATTGAGGAATTTAGGTGATTTAGATAAGACTTTGTTTTTTTAATAAAGTCTCATAGATGAGAAAAATGTGACCTCGTGAAGTTAGAGGATTTGATCAGATTCACACAGCTAGAAATTATCAAGTCCGAACCTTGGTGAGCTCAAGTTGCTGTAACAAGTTATCACAAATGGGAGTTTATAAGCAACAGATATTTAGTCCTCCCTGCTCTGGGGCCTGGAGCCCAAGGTCATGGCACTGCCAGATCCCGTGTCTGGTGAGGCCGCTTCCTGGGTCACAAATGTGTCTCCATGCTGTGTCCTCTAGGGGAGGGAGGGAGCTCTGGGGTCTCCTTTGTAAAGACACTGATCCCATCATGGGGCTCCACCCTCATGACCACATGTGGATAAAGTGAGAGTTCCTGTGGCCAGGATTCTCACCTGGCCCTGGTCAACTAGCTCACTGCACACCTGTGGGCAATACATGGCTGTTGACTCTAAAAAGAGCTCTTCCCAGTGCTCTGGGTGACACAGTGGCAGGGCTGCAAGGATGCAGAACAGAGCAGAGGTGGTGGCAGCGCCGAGGACAGAGGCCTAGAGGACGGCTGTGCAGGACGACTGTGCAGAAGAGGCCTGGAGGATGGCTGTGTGGGACAGCTGTGCAGACAAAGGGACCCAGAGGCAGAGACCGGCTTGCTGCCTGCAGACTTGCTCTGAGTGAACGGGATTGTAGTGACTGACTTACCACCTGGAAATAAAGTTGGGTATAACCCTTTCACCCCAAGAACGTTTTGCTGTCATTTTCTTTGGTCACATTGAATCCATAGCGAGCTTGCCCAGGGCTGAAAGCCATTGACAAGACACCGCATAACCTCCCAGAGGCCCCATCTCCTGGCACCACCACCTTGGGGGGTAGGTGCCAACACAGAGTTTGGGGGGACACACACATTCACACCATTATGGTTGGATTTCCACTCCACACCTTAAACAGTTTCGTGTGTGTACGTGGATGTGCATGTGTGTGTGCGTGCAAGATTTTGACCCCACCTGTGTAATTGTTTCATTGGCCATTTTTTATTGGATGGAATGCAATGCCACAACGAGCGCACATGAGCACTTCAGGGGATGGAGTGCCTGGGACACAGAGGCTGAAGGTTTTTCACCCTGTGTGTGACAGTGGTGTCCCCTGAAGGGCCTGGACCTCACACATCCTATGGAGGTGAAGCAGAGGAAATGACACTGGGCTCTCTCTTTTCAGATCTCCTCCACCCCATGAGCATGTGGGGGTTGAATTGTGTCCCCCCAGAATTCATGTGTTGAAGTCCGAACTCCTAGTGTGACTGTATTTTGAGTTGGGGTCTCCAATGAGGTGATTAAAGTTAAAAGAGTCGTGAGGGTGGGCCCTGATCCAACAGGACCGGTGTCCTTAGACAAAGAGACCCCAGAGAGCCTGCTCTGTGAAGGCGCAGTGCTGAGGTGGCCTGCTGCAAGTCAGGGAGAGGGCTCTTACCTGATCAGGAGCTGCAGCCTCCAGAGTGGTGAGAAATCAGCATCTGCTGCTCAGGCCCCGTCTGTGGAGTGTATGATGTGGCCCGTGCTCAAAGAGATCAGCGCCATCATACAAGGAGGGTCACCTCCCTCCGAAGACCCTCCAGGGCCCTCCCCACCCACCCACCTTCTGTGCCTGCTTACATGCTCCCCTCTCCAACGACAAGCTTTGTCACTGGGACTCCAGTCTTGGGGTTTGTAATGATGTGTACCCCTTAGGTACTAGCCATATCCATTTTTCACATTATAAAAAGTGGTGTTTGTTGATTGACCAAGTGATCTGGCAGATGGTTAGCCAAGTGTACCAGATAGGCTGAAATAGTTTGTTTATTTTTACTGTAGTTTCAGGATGACAAAGAAATACTGAGATAATTCTGCACAAAATTTTGGCAATTTGGAGATATGAGAGTATTGTTTATTTTCTCCTGGAATGATCTGGGTAGTTGGCTTGCATGTCAACATGCGATGCAGCTCGGGAAGCCAAATTCTACAAAGGAAGAGAAGGTGTGTGCCAATAAAATTAAAATCCCATTAAATTCTCTGATACTTGACCAGGGTTCCTGTTCTCTTTCTTATAATTATTTGATCTATTCTTAGTAAAAAAAAAGGGGGAAAACCCCATTGGACCCAAAGTGACTCCTCTCCACACTAACAGTCTTCCTTTGTTCACTCTGGATGAGATAGATTTAAAAGAAAGGAACCCACTTCTTTACTCCACGCCACACAGTTTAATGTGGTGGCAGGATTTTCTGTTACTGTAATACCTTGGGCTTGATTAGAAAATCGAATCATATGGACTGAAGCTACCAGGGATTAATGCTTTGTAATTGTCATTAGAGAAAGAGAACCTATGTGATGAAACAATCTAAAAGGATTTTTCATTTGTATGCCTAACCTAAAATGATCCTGTGCTTAATTAAACACGCTTGATGTAGGTCGCTGAGCATCAAGTTATCTTTCTATTAAATTATAAAAATAATTTTCAGTTCAGATAATGTATTTTGCTTATTCAACACTAACTTTCAGATATTTATTAGCCATCATATTAGCTTTCTTTCTGAACTTTGCAAGTATATATATATATTTTTTTGAGAGGGCATCTCTCATATTTATTGATCAAATGGTTGTTAACAACAATAAAATTCAGTATAGGGGGGTCAATGCTCAATGTACAATCATTAATCCATCTCAAGCCTAATTCTCGTCAGTCTCCAATCTTCTGAAGCATAACGAACAAGTTCTTACATGGTGAACGAATTCTTACAGAGTGAATAAATTCTTACATGGTGAACAGTACAAGGGCATTCATCACAGAAACTTTCGGTTTTGATCATGCAATATGACCTATAAACCATCAGGTCAAATATGAATATTCATTTGATTTTTGTACTTGATTTATATGTTGATCCCACATTTCTCCTATTATTATTATTATTTTTATTTTTAATAAAATGCTGAAGTGGTAGGTAGATGCAAGATAAAGGTAGAAAACATAGTTTAGTGCTGTAAGAAGGCAAATGTAGATGATCAGATGATCAGGTGTGTGCCTATGGACTAAGTATTAATCCAGGCTAGACAAGGGCAGCAAGACATCCACGGATGCAGAAGATTTCTCTCAAAGCAGGGGGGGTGAGGTTCTGAGCCTCACCTCTGTTGATCCCCAAATTCTCACCTGATGGCCCCCCTGCGACTGTGCCTGTCTTAGGTTGTTCCTCCCTTGAGGAATCTTACCCGTCTCTGGCTAACCAGTCATCTTCCGGGGCCATACAGGGAAATGTAAAGTTGGTAAGTGAGAGAGAAGCCATATTGTTTGCAAAGGTTAGCTTTTTACTTCTTTGCAGATTTATGCCCTGTGGCTTCTATGCCCAGCACTTGTCTCGAGGTATCTTTACCACCTGGAGGAATTATGATACTCGGTAAATTCGATATGAGGCACGAATTCTATTTAAGGGTTGTAATTAGGAAGGAAGAAGAAAAGCTATAGATGTAGCATATGAAGGAAACTTGGGAGGATTGATTATTTCTTTGACATATCTTCTTGTATAGTACCTTAAGTATGTATAGGTTTTAAACTACTAACTAATTTGCACACACATATTAACATAATAGGAAT